CACACACACACACACACACACACACACACACACACACACACACTCACACACACACACACTTTCAAGTGGCCTGAAAGCCCTTTCTCAATGAAATGGGTCACTTCAATTTGTTGATTCTTTCTGAAAAGAAAGGAACATCTTGTAAAATTCCAGTGAAGTTTCAGCTGGAAGGAGCTCCTAAGGTTAAAACGAAGACTCCATGCCATATCTGGCAGACAATGGAATCATAAATTAACAGTGCAGTCCAATGCAGGCTGAATCAGCATAAGCCCATTAAACCTAATTGATCTTATGCACAAATAAAAATACTGTAGAATAAGTTAAATGAGTCAGCAAAAGCAAAAGATACATTGTGGGTTGAAGAGGGAGAGGTTCGTGAAAATATTTATCCTTGAATTGCTGTGTTAATATTGTGATTTGTGATTTTGCACTAATTCAGATTATATTCCTTTCTGCTCCCCTTTTTTTTCACAAAAGGTTATCTACCTTCTATCTTTCCCTATCCTTCTAGGCTGATTTCTCTCTTAGATCTAGATTCTAACTGCATCTTAGGTTCTTGGTCTAAGGGATAAGAACACTCGTGCAGACAGGTCTTCAGGCTACTGAATTTAAGTGATTCCACACAATTTAAGTTGAAACTGGGCAATAGTCCTCAGGGCTGGGGATATATGAAAAAAAAAAGATGGACTGAGTAGGCAAAAGTTCTAATCCAGAAAAACAGTTTTTAGTAACTCAGACTTAGCGACTCACCGAGAAATCTGCATCCTCAGCCCGCAGGTGATTTGCTATGAAGTGCACCCCCTCCAGCGCCTTCAAGATGCTTGGAGACAGCCGGATGCCCTGCTCAGATGAAGCTGAACTTTCTGTTTTGATAGTGGCTGGGCGATGAACCAGTTCCACAAATCTTCTTCCCAGATGTTGAGCACTGGTGTAGCGATACTGAAGGCATTGGTGGTGAGAAATGCTTTGCAGGGGTAGTCGGCCAGCCTGAATCATCTCTTCCTGATTCTCCTCTTCCTCATCCCACCTATCATCTACGTCTGTTTCCAGCCAACACTGTGAAGTGCTGAGATTCGCCGGGGGCATGTCGTATTGTGCAATGACCTCTTCACTGGTCACCCTCAACCCTGAAGCTATTACAGGAGGGCGTTTCATGAAGAGCCAACGGGGAATGAAATCCAGAAAAACATTCTGGACCCAGTGTGGCATCTTGTGAGTACTGGGAGAGCGATGATGGACGTTGAGAACAAAGACTGTGATGACAATGGAGAGGGTGACGAAGATCATGGTGAAAAGCAAATATTCGCCAATGAGTGGGATAACTAGGGAAGTGGATGGGATGATTTCAGTGATAAGTAGGAGAAAGACAGTGAGGGACAGAAGGACAGAGATGCACAGGGTGATCTTCTCACCACAGTCAGATGGCAGGTAGAAGACCAACACGGTCAAGCAGGAAATTAGAAGGCAAGGGATAATGAGATTAATGGTGTAGAAGAGAGGCAAACGGCGGATGATGAAGCTATAAGTGATATCAGGGTAGATCTCACTGCAACAATCATATTTCTTGGTATTATAAGTGCCCACCGCACTGATAATGGCCCATTCCCCACTTTCCCAGTAGTCCTTAAGGTCGACATGGTGCTCCATGCTCTCCAAGTCAATCTTGGCCTTGTCGTAAGTCCATGACCCAAATTTCATTTTGCAGTTCTGTTGATCAAAGGGGAAGAAGGTTACATCAATGCTGCAGGAACTCTTATAGATGGCTGGTGGCACCCACTTCACACTGCCGTTAGAGAAAAGGTGAGCCTTTATCATATGGGTGACAGCAAACTCTCCATCAGCACTTGAGAGAAAAAGAAGAGAGGAGTTAAGACGAGATTGTTTAACCTTAAACAAACTTCTGCGTCTTGAGCCATTATATAGGGACAGCATTATAATCCATTCAGTTAAAGAAAGAAGTCAAGAAAGACTTCTAATATATTGATTTATTGTGACAAAAACTTGGAGAAATCAGACAGTCCTCTCCTTACAAACAAGACTATTTTGAAACTCACATTTTTCTCTCTTCACATAAGGGTAAAGGTTCCCCTCGCACATATGTGCTAGTCATTCCTGACTCTAGGTGAGTGTGCTCATTTCC